AAGCACTGTGCTGGAACTTCTCACTCGCTAAAATGTGTCTGGAGAACTTCATGGAACATGGATAAAATACCTTCTGGGAGAGAGAAGAGAACGTGAGGATTAATGCCCCCAGTTGTCCTCCAGAGCAGGCAGGCAGGTAATTCTGGAAGAAGAATTTGAAAGAAAAATGCCATCTCCATCCCTCAGAAGCTGAGAGGCCAAGGTGGGGCTCTGAGCACCGTGATTTATGCCTGGTGTCTGGGGCACTTGTTATCTGAGATTTCTTTCACCATCACCTAGAAGGAAGAATAAGATATGGGGCCACCTCACTGAGGTATTTTCACACCTGTGTGTGACTATGAGCATTAAAAAGTCTGGATTGGCCCTCGGGTCGGCTTTGCCCAGCTGTGCTGTGCTGCACAAGTTACTGGGCCTCTCTGAGCCTCAGTGTTCTGTGGAATAAAATAATGTCTGTCAGTAGGTGTATTGGTCGGTTTTGTGATGTACTAACAAAATACATGAGATGATTAACTTAGAAAGAGAAAAGGATTATTCCAGCTCACTTTTCTGGAATTCCAGTCCATGACGAGGCAGACCCATTGCTTTGGGCCTCTGGTGGGGGTGCAGGATGTTGATGGTCAGGAGCATGGGCGGAACAAGCTGCTCACATCAGGAGCCAGGAAGCAGGAGAGGGGACCCTTTTCAGAGGCCCCCCTCCAGGGATCTGAAGGTCTCCGGTAGGGCCCCACCTCCTAACAGTTCTGCCCTCTCCAGCAGTGCACCTGCGACCATCCTTTAACACATGGATTCTGGGGAATTCACACAAACTGAATCAAAACCATCTGCAGAGCTCTAAAACTGTCCAGTGCCCACACCCCCAACCACCAGGTGGGAGGGGCGCCCACCAAGGCCACGGTGCACTGAGCTCTTGCCCAGGGGCAGGATGGCATCATCCGGTGGCCCTGAGACCTCTCCACTCGGTGTCATACCCTAGATAGGTGACCATCCTTCACCGTCCATGTTTTGACTCCTTGGCAGGAAGCAAGTGCAAGAAGCTTCTGTACATTTTTTAAAGACTTTAAAAGAGAAGATTTAGATCTCCAGAAAGCTGAGCTGAAACTACAGGGAGTTGCCAAATTGCCTCCCACCAGTACACACAGTTCCCCCTTGCTATGAGTTGGACACAAGGTTCCCCCAAAAGTTCACGTTAGACAATGCAGGGATGTTCCACGGTGACATTCTGGGATCATGAGAGCTGTGACCTAGTGGATTAATCCATTCCATGGATTCATAGATTGAATGCACTTCCAGGTGGGAATGGGGTGAGGTGACAGGAAATAGGTCGCTGGGGTGGGTCCCTAGGAACTGTGTTTTCTCCTGGCTCCTCTCTGCTTCCCGGCTGCCGTGAGCCGACCAGCTCTCCTTTGGCACTTCCTTCCACCATGATTTTCTGTCTCAGGCCCAGAGCCATGGAGCTGGCCAACCATGGACCGAACCTCTGAAACCATAAGCTAAAATCAACTTTTGTTCCTCTAAGTTGTCCTGCAGGTCATGTTGGCCACGGCAAAGCACAGCTAACCTGGGAACATCCCCTCACTGTGGCACATCTGTAGAGTGAGCCAGAATTGATACTTTGTCATCAACCAAAGTCCGCAGTGTACCTCAGGCTCCCTCTCCAGACCCTTCTGTGGGTGTGACACACGTATCCACCATCCCTGTCACAATAAATCCCTTCCCTGCAGTTTAGAAAGATGGAAGCACCTTCATTTCTGCCCCGACAAGGAAGGTGAACACCAGCTGCTCAAGGAGTCCAGCCTCCACATTTTGTCAAGAAGGTGAAAAACGGGCTAGACCGCCCGTGTGGAGAAGTGGGAAGACCTCCCTCAAAACTCACCCTGGGGGCTGGGACACAGCCCAGCTGGTAGAGTCCTTGCCTTGCATGCCCAAGGCCCTGGGCTGGATCCCCAGCACCACAAAAAGCAGAAACTTGTCTCTGATCCCCTGGTGCTCCATAACCCATGGCCGGGTGGCACCGGTGGACGCAGAACTCACACAATTTACGAGAGGAGCATTTTTTTAAATAGCATTTTTTTTTAAAGTTGAAACATCTGGACCCCCTTGAATGTGTCTCTTTTTCATCAAAATGACTGAGCCCCAGGGGAACATCAGAATCCTTGATTCTGGGAGGGTGACTCCTAAGTGTCCCAGAAACGTTTTTGGCAGATGATATTCTCCCAAGAGTTCTGTTACTCACACCGCCACTAAAGCAGTGACTCCCAGGCCTTCTAACACCATGGGGATGGGGCCCCATGACATTCTCACCCCAAACAGTGGCCCTGGTGACCTGGGGATGCAGGGTGCTACACAGGCCCGGCTGGCAGTTCCCAGAGAGGCACCACCCTGTGCCTGCCCACGCACCCAGTTCCTGCAGCCACGGCTCTTGGCCAGGGCTGCCTCTCGGTCACAGGTGAGGGCTTCACACAAAGTTTAAGACCAGAGAGAAAGGAGTTCTTCAGCCACCTGCCTCAGAACTGACCGCCTAGGGGAAATGGCTGTGTGCACCTGTGATGGCACCTGCACGCGTGGTTTTATCCACAGGGACAAGGACAATGAAGAAGCACACCCTGCACTCCTCCCGTTTTTGAAGACATTTTTCTCGTGAGTCCATCCGCTCACCTCTTTCTATTCCTCCCTGCTCCCACATGGTCTGAGATGCCTCAGGGTCCCCCACCTCTACCCCTCACCCTCACGATGTGCTGCCTTTTCGAAGGCTGGTCCTCTTATAGACACATCCCCAAATGCCACTTGCTTCCCACTTACCGGCATCTCATGCACAGTGGGTGCTCTGCTCCCGTAAGCCTGGTTACTGGTCCTGTACAGGGAGACCACCTCCTTGGCCCTGCAGAGCAGATATGGTTCCCCTGGTTCATTCAAAGTCTGCCCACGCCACAGCCCTACAGGATTTGCCTGATAGAGCTTTGTTGGCAATGCCCCCAAGGAGAGCAGTGTGCCCCGGCCAGTAACACAGCATGAACACTGGCCCCCATCACACACAGGGCTGAAGCCCTGATAGGCCTGCCTCTCTGACCTCCTCTGCTGGCCATAATCCCTACTCCTTCCAACTCCTAAAGAGCACTCCACCAGCAAGTGCCAGTCCTCAACCCTGGTAGACCTTGGTAGAACTGCTACTGGTTGGGTAGGTTCGTTACCCTGCTGGGAGCCACAGGTCAGCATCAGACCCTGCCTCCCGGGGGGCCCTGGCTGCAGGTCCACTCTCAAGATGCCCAGGTGCAGAAGAAGGAACGTGGCCAGGGAACACCACCTGCCTACTGTAGGCTGCAGTGAACTCCACACTAGAGGCCTGGGAGAGTTGTCTCTAGGTGGCAGTGGTCTCCACCGAGAATGGGGCACAGGAAACTGTGGGGGCAGAGGGTGCCTCACCTCCCCTGCAGCAATTCAGATTCCAGTTATGTCCCTGAGCCTCAGGGCCCCGGGACAGTCCCCACAGCAGAGCTGACATCTTACAGTTGCAGGAGGGGAGGAGAGGAGACCCCGGGGCACAAGACTGTGGAACTGGAACCAGAATGAGTTTTTTCTTTCCGCAGGGTCTCCACAATCCCCCACAATCCCCCACCGTACTGACCGGTGGTGGGGGAGTTTGAGGAGCTCACTGCTGGTAATGATAGCAGGCTCAGGCCGAGCTCAGGCTCCTTTTGACTTCCGTAGCAGGAAGTTGAGGGTCTTTGGGGAGGGGGTTTCTCATCCAGGACTACCTGAGCGCAGCCCCAGAACCAGCTGTGGCACCGCACGTGCATCCGAGGCAGGGCCTCTCCCTGTGCCTGTACGGAGGACCCGGACCAGCCCTGCTTCCTTACCCGTAGCCGCGAAACCACCCCGGGTTGTTGAACCTGACCGGCAGGTGGGGGCTCACGCGATAGTAGTCGCTGGTCTTCTCCGGGGGCGTCGCGGCCTTCGGCTCAGCGGGCTCTGCGCACTCCGACATTTGGCCTCTAGCAGAAACCGGCTTTGGGCAGGAGAAGCCCAGGCAGCGGGTGCAGCGTCCTGTTGCTAGGCGACGGTGTCACCTGACCCGGACGTCCAGTCCTTAAAAGCGCCGCAGGAAGAGCCATGGCCCCTGGGCAGGCAGGTCTAGAACGTTCCCTGGGCGAATGATCGAGGACCGGACGGATCCACGACGGGGAGGAATCCCGCTCGGACCGTCCTCAGAGACGCCCTAAGCCTTCAGCCCGCTGCGGGAGCAGGGCTCTGGGTGTCTTCCTGGGACTCTCCGGAGCATCGCGGTATTCTCCCCAAATGCAGCAGCAAGCGCTTTGGATGAAACCACAGGCCCTGGGACTTCACCAGCAAATTGATGGGGTCTGAGTGCTGAACGCTCACGTGGCAAGCAACAATTTGGTGCTTACTGTACACACCAGGGGTGCTCCTTGACCCGGGTAATCCGGTGAGCCCGCGCCCCAACTACCCAAACTTAGACCCAAGACTTTTCTAAGTTCACAGAATCACATATTGTTTAAATATTAAACACGATCTTGGAGAACAAGAGGTTGCTCTGGACTTGGAGCAGAGGTTGAGGGTCCGCATCGCCCAAGGGGTCCCACGAGAGATGTGGGCCTCATCGGCCTGCACTGTTACTTTTTTTTTTTTTTTGAGGGTGAACCCCGTGCTTATGCACGCTAGGCAAGTTCTTCCACTGAGCTGCACCCCAGTCCTCTGCCCTGCACTTTTGCAGGGAGGGGTCGAGCAGCAGGGCCAGGGACCGGTTCCCTACGCCTTATCCACAGGGGTGGGGGCGCAGGAACCCCCACGCCACCCTGCTCCCCACCCCGCCAAGCACGCCCGCGCAGACTCGGCCTCCGCTGGGACTCGGGGCAGCGCGCCTCCCAGAGGTCTGTCTGCGGGCGGGCGGTGGCGGGTCCTCCCGGCCTGCAGGTGGCGCTGCGGCCCCGCGCGGCGAGGGAGGCGCGCCGTCCGCCCGTCCGCTCGTCCGCCCACGAGCTCGCCGCCATGGCGTCCGCGCTGCCCCGATTGCTCCGCGCGGGTGAGTGGCCGCGCCCGGCGGGGACCGGGCTTGGGGCTTGAGGGCGCGGCGTCAGCAGGCTCTCTCTCCGCAGGTGCGCGGCCCGGCAGGCGCTGGCCCGGATGGCTGCAGACGGCCGGCCCCGGCAGGACGCTCGCGGGCATCCCGGCCCCCGCGGCCAGCGAGCCCGAGGACAGCGGTAACGAGCCCCGGAGGGCGGCGGGGAGGCGCCGAGGCGTGGCGCCCTGCGGCTCGCGCTGGCTCCAGCCGCTCCTGCAGCCGCGCGCGACCACCGCTGGCCGGACGGAGGGAGCGGCCTGAGGCTCGGAGCCTGTGCTGGTCACGTGGCCCGGGGACCCCTGGGCACCAGGCCGTCCGCCTTGCTGGGCTCATGCAGGGGAATTTCTGGCGACGGACCTGAGTCTGTCTGCCAGGTCTGGTGGCTGGGAGGGCCACAGGGACCCCAGACACGGGATGGTAGTGACCCGGCTTACCCACAGGCTGGGTCTCCTTCAGAACCTGGGTCCAGCTCTGTTTGCTGTGAAGGCCACTATGGCTTCCTGGGGTCTCTCCTGGGGCTTGATGCATCTTGGCTGCTGGGCTTCTCCCAGAACCCCCCAGCCCTGTGGCCTCCACTCAGGGATCCCTGGTTGCTGGGTGGGTCCAGTGGGAAACCACAGCTTCCTGCCCTCCCTGCCCTAGAGACCCACCGCAAGATCCTGGAGGAGCCCCTCAGACACTCTGACTTCTTCAACGTCAAGGAGCTGTTTTCAGTGAAAAGCCTCTTCGATGCCCGCGTGCACCTGGGACACAAAGCTGGCTGTCGGCACAGGTAGCTGAAGCGCCTGGCCAGGGTGTCGGTGGTTCCCAGGAGGGCCCAGGGCCATCCTGACCTGGACTGGGGCCTGGCTGCTACTGGTGGGATTCCCCAAGCCCCCTGAGGGCACTTAAACTCTCCTGTGTGTCTTGGAGGGAGCCTGCAACCTTGGGTCAGTCCTGCTGGCTGGTGAAGGCTCTCAGGTTCCAAGGTAGGCCAGGGAGGTTAAGGGCCTCCAGCCAGTGTTGGATGGAGCAGGGCCTCCAAGGCTGTGGAGATGAGCAGGAACTGGTCAGATGTTTGACTATAGAACATCCAAACCTTCACTTGGGTCCATCCTACCCAGCTCCGTGTGGAAAGAGGCGGAGGGTGGGATTGGTAGTAACATGCCGAGGCTCCTGAGGGGCCTTCTGCAGCCCTGAGCCCCGACCTGTCAATCATTGGACAGAGTTCCACAAGGGAAGTAGATGCGGTTTGTGCCTCCCAGCCCAGGTGCCCAGGCAGGAGCGCAGGGTTGACCTTTGACCATTGATGGGGTCTGTGGCAGGTTTATGGAGCCCTACATCTTCGGGAGCCGCCTGGACCAGGACATCATCGACCTGGAACAGACAGCTTCGCACCTCCAGCTAGCCTTGAATTTTACTGCCCACGTGGCCTACCGAAAGGGCATCATTCTGTTCGTGAGCCGCAACCGGCAGTTCACACACCTGATCGAGAACACAGCCCGGGACTGCGGCGAGTATGCCCACACCCGCTACTTCAAGGGTGGCCTGCTGACCAATGCCCCGCTCCTCTTCGGCCCCACGGTCCGCCTGCCTGACCTCATCATCTTCCTGCACACACTCAACAACGTCTTCGAGCCCCACGTGGCTGTAAGGGACGCAGCCAAGATGAACATCCCCACAGTCGGTGTTGTCGACACCAACTGCAACCCCTGCCTCATCACCTACCCCGTGCCTGGCAACGACGACTCCCCACCGTCTGTCCAGCTCTTCTGCAGGCTCTTCCGCACGGTCATTACCCGGGCCAAGGAGAAACGGCGGCAGGTGGAGGCCCTGCATCGATTGCAGAGCCCCAAGCGGGCAGAGGGCCACGGGGCAGCTGACTCTCCTCCCAGAGTGGATGTGAGCCATTCCCTGTGACAGGCCACGATCCTCATCCCGAGTGACCATGAGACCTGGTCTGAGCTGGAAGTCCCTTGCATTCTCCGTCCTAGGCTCTTGTTAGTAACAGCACTCAATAGCCCCAACCATCCCCGGGCTGAGACTTGGCTGCATCTTCGTGGGGCAGACATGCAGGGCAGACCGCATGTCCCCAGTGGCCTGGTTAGGACCTGAAGCTGATACCTTGACTGCTGGAAAACCAGGTTCTCCCTGGCCCCTGAGAAGTCCTGGCTTCCACCTTGACACGGGGTGTCAGGAAGGTTCAGAGACCAGTTCAGTTCTCAATCAGAATCCCCCTGGTGGGCTGCTTTCCCTGGCAGCCTGGCTTCAGGGGCCATTTTGCACTGTGATGTGGCACAAGTCCCTGGGAAGTTCTGCCTGGGACAGGCTGAGCATAGCAGCTGGCAGCAAAAATAAAGTTACGTTTGAGCAGAACGTGACTCGGAGCGCAGGTCTCTACTGGACCCGGGCCTATGAGGACAGGCAGGAGCTTGTGCTGGGAGCTGCTGTGTTTCCAGGTCTGGGGATACCAGGAACAGGGTGGCCCCAGCAGAAGGGGACACTCAGTGGACAGCTGACACCACTGAGCCCAGCCACTTGAGGTGGGTGTTGAGGACAGCAGCCGTGATGGTGGGGCTGCTCAGGAAGAGCCCAGGCGCTGCCCTCAGGTGATGGGAGCCAATGGGGCTCCAGAGGGCCTGGGTGAGGGAGGGGCTGAGGGGACAGTGACTCCCCCAGCCCTCTCTCTCCCTGAGCCTGAAATGCCCCATTAGATGTGGCCTCTTCCGGACCCAGGCAGAACCAAGACCAACCAGCTGGCATTGTGGGGAAGGAGCCGGAGCCCCCAGACCCAGGACCTGGCAGAGTTCTTCGGTGTGGAGGGAGTGTTCAGGGGTCACATAAGCTTGGGGATCTGCCACATGCCAACCTGGGAGATGACCAGAGGCAGATGGGGTCAGGCTGAGAAGGCTTCGGGGCAGGGCCCTGGGCCTGGCTTGGCATTCCCAGTGATCCCCACCTGGGCACGTTCCTTCTGCAGATGCTGGACAGTATCAGGAAGAACTATCTGTGAGTGGGCCTGGGCTGACAGCAGGGGCAGAGCAGGGAGACCCTGAGCCCGGGGCTGCACTAGTTGTCACTGGCTGTGTGACCGTACTCCCCACCACCGCCACAGCTACACACAGTTGATGTCAGTCTCTGGGCACCTGGATCCAGGCTAGCTCCCAGGAGGCTGGGGCTGTGGCCTCCACTGAGGCTGGGTGGGTAGAATCTGCCTCGCAGCTCTTTCTGTGTCCTTAGCAGGCTCCCTGTGGCGGGTTGCAGTGCTCTTCTGTCTGTCGACTGTGACAATGGGATCTTGCCCCTGGGGCCTGTGCACTGGGCAGCTGGTGGCATCTCAGCCTGATTTCCTGGAGCAGGAGAGGGAGCCTAAGAAATGACTCTTGCTGCCCCCAAAATAGAGCCACTTGCCACCATCCCTCCTCAGGTGGCCCCTCCTGCTGCCAGGTCCCAGGAGATTAAGCATAATCTGAGGAGCGAGGAAGGCCCAGGACAACAGCACCTTGCATGACAGCTCAGCCTGTGCTGGGATCCTGGGGCCCCACTCCCTCACCCGTTCCTCAGGGGCCTGCCCCTCCGCCCGTCCCCATCCTCGCGGTCATCCACCCACTCACACGTTCAGCAGATATTCAGTGGCCCCTGCCTGTGCCCTCACTGTGGCTCCCAGTCATCCTTACCCTCCGGGAGTGCCCCATGGGGCTCAGGTCCACTTTGCAACACGGACGGGTGTGTCCTGGGGTTAGCAGGGATGGCAGCACCAAGAATTCCTCCTGCTCCAGAGTAACACCGCAGATGGGCAACATTGTTTCAACTCAGTGCTAGGAGAATCCCCTAGTTAAGTTTTTCTTTTTACAATTTTTTTAAATATTTATCTTTTAGTTGTAGTTGGACACAATACCTTTATTTTATTTTTTTATTTTTATGTGGTGCTGAGGCTCGAACCCAGGGCCTCGCACCACTGAGCCACAACCCCAGCCCAAACTTTGACAAATGGATCAAAACATTCATACGGGTGGAAACAGTGGGCAGCAGCAGTGCTGTCCAGGATGTGGACACTGAGAGCCTCACATTTGCTGGAGGGAGTGGAAGTGGAGTGAAAACCACTCTGGCAGTTCTCTAAGCATGTCACCATAGAGCCACTACATGATCCAGCAAGTCCACGCCTAGGCAGTCTCCAAGATGGCGGCAAGCGTGTGTCCACATGACACTGGACACCAGTGTTCACAGCAGTGTATTCACATTGGCCCCAAAGTGGCAATAACCTAGGTGTCTGTCAACTGAGACGAGATGACAATGGATGTGGCGGAACCTCAGACGAGCCTGGAGACCCCGCAGGCGTGGAAGGAAGCCAGTCAGCAAGCCACACACTGCACGATCCCATGCACGTGAAATGTGCAGAACAGGAATTCTGTAGGGGTGGCAAGTAGATCCCTGGTTCCAGCTGGGGTGGGACTGGGAACCCAGTGCTGATGGGCTCAGGGACTGGGG